TGTATATTCTAAAATTCTTGTTTTAGGTCTGAGAGGCACATCAACTGCATATACACGTCACAGCTCCCTCCCCACCAAAAAACGACTATATTAAGTTGTGGTCCTTCTGAACATGGTCATTTGGGTTTAATTTTCTCAGTAAAACAAGCTAAACACAATTAAACTTCTTACCTACTCCTGACTCTTTAAGAACTACTTAACACAACTGAGGCAATGCTTCTGTGGCACAGAACACACAACATTTTATTGGCTCCTGTCGCAGGTCCATTACTCACCTCGATCATAACAGTCAATGCCTTGTTGTGGTGCTGAAAGTCTGCATGAAACATCTCATCCTGTAGCCACCTAGCAACACAGCTGGACATCTGAGTCTTTAGCTGCTCGATATATTCATCACGGGGAGTAGTGAAGTTCCATTTCAACACCTGGAAAAAACAAAAAAACAAAGAACTCACAACTCAAAGCAAGTAATTCACTGCTTTTTACCAAGCTGACATGAAAGAATAAACCTGCAAGTCTGCTGTTTTTTAATAATATAAAACAGTAAGCAACTCTATCCCATCACTAAAAGAGCACAGATATAGAACATTGCTCTAATTCTAACATTATAAAAGCCTACGTCTGTCTGTCTGTCCATAACACTGTATTCGCACTCCGATTGGCTGACGGAAACAGTCAGAGTGCTCCAAGCACGGGGAGCACTTCTATGATTCCAAAGCCGCGTCGAGGACCAGACAGGGGGTGTGGGAGCTGGGGCCAGCAGCACTGGTCTCTGCTCCCCTGCCCCACCCCCTGCAAGAGGCAGAACAGCAACAGCATGGGACGTTAAGTGGCAGCACTCCATCCCAGCCCCCTTCCTTCCCCACCCCTCGTCAATCTTGATGGACAATTGGCTAGTATAGCCATAAGAATGGAAGCAGCCATGCTTCTCCACAGCATTTGGTAGTACTCTAACAAAGCAAGATTTTCCTAGTTCAGGAAATCATCTTTCAGCTATGCCTGCAATGTGCCAGTTCAACCACTTAGGTTCCCCGATGATGACTGATGCCCCTATAAATTATGGGTTTCAAGGTAGAAACCTGCAAATAGCGATCACTAGCATTTTTCGTAAGAGTGGATTTCAGCAACAGGGGTTGATAAGAATAACAAAACCTAATCCTTTTCTAAAAGTTCATACTTAGTGACTGAATTATCATGCTTGCAGAGTAGGACTCATGTCCATCAGTCAAATCTTAGCAGTCTTTTGTGCTTTAGTGTTTGGTTCAGTCTCAGAGCACTCTTAAATTAGATTGAAAGTTCATCGTTTTCTTATATCATCTAAAAATTTCTGTGCTCCATAAACAGCCTTTCAGTTGGTCTTCTGCTCTTTAGGTGAGGACTGCTACTCATCTCCTTAAGTAGGATGCTAAGCTCACAGGTAAGAGATCAAGTACTTGCTTATAGAATTCAAGGTGCTAAAAAGAAAGCATGCTCAAGCTCTCCCTCACCTTCAATCCTCTCTCATCTCTCATTCTCTGCTCTTTCCCATTTGGGACGATGATAAAAACAGGACCAGATTTGTCTTCATCTTCCTTCAGGTTAGGTTTGCTTGGTACTTTCTTCCCTTGGATACCCTGAAAAACAAAAGACCACTGAGGAAACAGTACCACAAAACCCATATACACGCCATCACTCCAAGTGATCCCATTCCAAGCACCGGACATTACCACACCATCATGCTGGACAAGTGTACGAGACCCAGGCAGAAGCGGGAAAACTATGTTTGTTAGAATCTTGAGGTAAATGCTCTGCTGCAAGTGGAAGCAAAACCCAGTACAAAGTGTGTGTAATAGCCTCTTGTGACACAGGACATCTCAGAGTTGGCCAGTGCACAAGTTACCCACAGATATCTAAACCCAATTTGGTACCTGTTTGATGGCTCTGTTCTTTGTCAGACCGGAACTGCCTTTGGTGGGGCTTGTATTAGCTTTGGATAGGCTTGTATTGCCCTTGGACATACTGTTATTACCATCAGACTGCTGCAACAGGCCACAGAAAAGGCTTTGTGGTTGGACAGTTCTTAATACTTATCTCTAAATCACTCCATTAAGGCCCCCCAAGCCCACTGCATGCTCAGCAAGAACATTCTAGCTTAAGAGTTTAGATGAAATAATTAATCTGAAACATGAACATTTACAAAGGCATCCTCACTAAAATCTCTGAACAGTCACTTCCAAGAGGTGAATAGGCAAGCAGAACAGGACTTTCAATTTCTGCCCCACACAATAGCAAGACAATGAACTATGATATACTATCAATAAGAGAACAAAGTGAATGCCATAACTCAAGTACAGCCAGCTGAGGCTACCATTCCACTCCTTAGCATTCCCTTCACATACTGTCTTAGAGAGAAGGATTTCCACTTCCAATGTCAGAGTTGACCAAAAGATGCAGTGGCAGCATAGTAACTTACTGGTTGAAGCATCACGCTACAGTTCCAGAGGTGCAAATTCAAGTCCTGCTCTGGGCCCATGACAAATAAAAAAACACCACCACAAAACTCCCACTTCACTTTGCAGTAAACAGGTACCTGGCCATTTAGGTTGGGGAGTCCAAGGCAGCCAGATGTGATGCTAGTTTCATGCCTTCGCGGGCTGTTAGCTATGAAATTGCTATTCCTGTACTATGCTAGCCCAACGGACCATTAGGCTTTGGTGGACCATCTCTCTGCTATGGATTCAATTACTGTTCCAAGCTAGAACTTTACAGCTAGATACTTACTACAGATTTTAACATCTAAATCTATAATAGGGTAAAGCAGCCAAGCAGACTTGGAGACAGGCAGGTTCAGCCCCAGCAAGTTTCTGGTACAGCTGTGGCTGTGCTGACAAGAACAAAAACAATTATAAAAGCACATCTAGAGAACAGATCTGAAAAAGACTCCTTTGGTTTAAAATCCGATAGCCTGACACAGACCCTCCTTGTAAAAGAAGTGCATATTACAGGGTTTGTTGGAAAGCTAAAAATCCACAAGAATAATCCATTAGTAGTTATTAATCATATGTTTGGAATCCCCATACCTTGGCTTTAGAGGCAGCTCCTCCTGCTTTGGCCTTTTTTGGGTCAGGCTTATACTCCATGGTGCTGGACCCTGAATCATCAGTGGGTGCTTGGGAACAAGAGAGTATTTCAAATATTTTACAAAGAATGAGCCCTTCCATAAATTCACACTGAGCTCACCTCAGATTTTCCAGTCTCACTGCAGAGAAGGTAAAGCTGCTTACTGAGGCAACAAATCCCTTTAAAGTTACAAAATGGGGGATTTTAGACTCAACAGGGAGCTTGCTTATCTGTGAATTAAAAGCTAAGTCTTTGCAAAGTCCATCACTATTAAGAAAGAAATCTCTCATATCTGAACAAGCAGTAAAATAAAGGGTTCCACACTGATTTTCCTTCTTCCTCATTATTAGTATGCTGCTGTTCTTAAAAGGGCAAGCTTTGTCAGAACAGGGATGGTTTCTTTCTGTTGGCAGAATAAGCCTCCATGTGAACACTAATTCAGAACGAAAGTGACATAATCTGATTTTTCCTAAAGCAAATTAGCCAATTCAAATTAAAGCCAATTTCATTCTGAATGGAGATTGAGCACATGGAGGCTTAGTGCATTTAACTAGTTCATTTTAATTCATGCATATTGGCTTCAGCATCCTCATGCAGAAAAAGCCCAAGGCCAAGAAAGTGTCTTGAGTCCAATGAAAGGTGCTTCAAGTTCAAAAAGAATCGAGAACGACTGTACTAAAGGAACAACTTAGTCACCAAAATCACAAAAACTATGAAGAAATTCTGTGGTTCATGATGGGAGAACATGCACAGGATTATGGGAGATGCAGTTCAGCCAGAGAAGCTGGCCTACAGGACAGAATGAGGGTGCTAACCCTCCACACTAATTTCCACGAGGCAGTTCTCCCCAGAAGCCAAAAAGGACTCCGAAGGCAACTGTTTAGCTGTTTCGTTTATTTTTTACTTTTCTTCCTCAACTTCTGCTGTTAAATTTCCTATTCATTTCCAAAACAAAATCATTAGCCTTGGATATTACAGATTGGCTCTACTCCTATCCTAGTCCTCACACTATGCAAGCAAAGGCTTTCCCCAAAAGTACCAGCATCTTACAAAGATTGGGTTTTCAAGTTTGCATGACTGAGTGCTGAAGGGAAAGGCTGAGGCTCAAGTCAGTCTTTTCCAGAGAATCTCTTCCTCCCCTCACTTTTTCCACCATTAGGGGGCCTGGAGATTACCTGATGTAGACTGGAATTTGGCTGGTGCTGCTCCTCCTGCCATCCTGGAAGATGCCTTAGCAGGAGCAGCTGGTTTGGCTGGCATGTTGGCTTTGGCCTTCTCAAGCATGGCCAGGACCTGGTCTTTGGAAGTAGGCTAGAGAGAAACCAATATAATATAAGCTATAAACAGAAGTTAAATAGATGCATATTAAAAGGTGCATCACAAAAGAGGCTAAGCAGAAAGAAGCTTTGTCTGAAAGACAGAGCTTTCTAGATAACTTGTTTTGAGATAGAGGCAATTCCTATGAATGTAGTTACAAGATATTTAGAATGTCACATAGTGTGTCAAGTTAAAAAAGAAATTTATATATGAGACTGTGAAGAGTAAAACCTGTAGTCAGAGAAGATGTTTTAAAATTCAAGGTCCCTAAATGATCATTTGGTTGCTAGCTACAAAGCACTGGGGAGACATCTGTTCAACTGCAAGCAAGGACGCGTAGAACAGTATTTCTCAACCTTTTAAGTAGCAAGAACCCCCTGACTTATTAAAATTTTCAGAAGTACCCCAACACTCAATTTTACAGGGGATTTTATATTTACAGACTAATGTGTCCCTTATGTTGGAAGATGGGTTGTGTATATAAGGCCATGACATTACAGATGTCTAAGCTAGTGTGAGTAGGGTTGCCATCTTTTACACCAGGGGTGCACAACTCAAGTACGTACCTGGGCTAGAGGTAATGTTGGCCAAAACTAGGAGGGCTGAACACCAAATTATTACTGGGGAATTTAAAGCACTGCGCAATGTGTGGCACACCAAATTTGTTACCATAGTTTTGAGAGGAAGGGACAAGAAAGAGGAAAAGAGGGCAAGAGAGAGTGCTGGGGTACCCGAGTACCCCCTTGCCTGTGTCTCGCATACCCCCAGGGTTACATGTACCACAGGTTGAGAAACTATGGTGTAGAAGAACAGTGAGGCAGTGGAACAGACTGCCTAGTAAGGTTGTGGAATCTCCATCACTGGAGGTGTTCAAGAGGTTGGACAGCCACTATTGGGGATAATCTAGGTGCAGCTAAACCTATGCTCTACCATGGGTATTTCCTATGTTTCTGGGCTTTGCTGGTTGCCCCTCCCCCTCTTTCTGCTATGCGTGTCAGTGTGCTTTTAAGCCTTCCTCAGAGGCAGGGAGTTGGATTAGATGCCTTTGGGAAGTCCCTTCCAGCCTTGCCTCTGGGAGGCTCCTGCCCTTCAGTATCAAGACTTGACAGCGATAGATGAGACCTTCCTGAAGGTGTCATGAAAAGGCCTCTCAAAATAGTCTAATCCATAAGGGACTACAGGAGTTCAGGATACCAAGCAGGTTGCACCAATACAGTTTGAAGCTTTGCAGTGCTTGAGAGTTTAGAGTTCATGTGGAAATGAGCATTAGAAATATTTGTTTATGAGTTGTAAATTCTAAGTGAAGCAAGAGTTCATCAGTTAAGCCTGGCCTAGATCTCTGGTACCTCATAATTCCTATCACGTATGTCAGCAGTACCCTAGTCCTACAGACAGTATCCTTGGAATAAAGGAATAGAGCAAGGAGGTGTGTGGACAGACAAAACAAGTGGATATATCAACTTAAAAATAAATAATAAAAGAAAATCTGCATGGGGACAGGAAACCCAGGGTCATGATGCTATACAATTTGTTTTGGCCATATCCACAGGGAAAACAAAGGCATTTCAGGCCTACAAAATCAGCAGAGATTTCTGCAAGTTTATGTAGTTCTAATAAAATGATCTTATGACCTGTTTAGCAAAATTACATTTGCTATATATTACAATTTACACCCACTTTTATCCAAGCTCACACTACCATCCCCAGTTTAAAATTAAGACCACAATACCTTCAGCTTGCCAGTGGCTTTAGCCATCTTCTCGAAACCAAGATGCATCATAAAGAATGGCAGGGCATCCTGGGCCTTTTTACGCACATCCCCATTTCGATCCTCTAGACAGGAATACAGATGAGGCACGCACAAAAGCAGATCAGAAGGAACTGAACGGAGGGTAGGTAACTTTTCAGCCAGCCATCCCAGAAGCTGGAAGAAAGCACAGATAAAGCTTTGCTCTTTTAATATTGTTGCTGTTGTCTGGAATACTTAAGTGGGGATGTGTCATCAGCAGGCTTAATAGGAGCAAAATTTCTCGTATCTGCCCTCATAGTCAAGAACATGCCTGGCTCAAACTTGGCACTTGAAATCACCTGTGTCTTCTTGAATATGAAAGTGCAATCCACAGAGGCAACAAGGCTTCAATATGCAGCTGACTTGATTCTAACTGAAAGGTTTCATCCCCAGCCTAGACTTTCAGAGTTCACAGACTGTACTTCATGTGCAAAAATGTGACCAGCATTTCAAAGTACATATTGCTTTTGGTCAGCACTTAGTTCCAGTAACATCCCAAAACCTCAGTCCTGCTCTTATCCAGCATTTGGGCAAGAGGCAGAGTCATTCATTTTTGGTTTGTCTTCTTTAAAAAGTTTTGTTTAAATTTCAATACAAGCATAGAGTGCTGCTTATTACTATCCTCGTCATGTTTGTCAGTTTCAGTACTGAAACTGCATTACACATTTTTTACCCTCATGGTGGCCCTAGTATATTATTGCAGTCTGCCTCATCTTATCCCCATTATTTTTGGAACTGTTTACTGTGGCTAAAAGGCAGTTCAAAGGCACAACAAACAACTCAATGTATACTACCAGTCTTTACCTCTTGTCTTAAGAAAGGATTCTCCTTTTTGAGCTCCTCTGACAAGTCTTCTCCTTCCAACCACTCTTTCATGCCAGTCTGTTCTGCCCATGCATTCACAGTTGCTAGTGCAGTAGCACGGACATTGTTCTGCAGCAAGAACCAAGATTTAAAAAGGATAATCCTACAGAGGGTTCAGAATATCCAAGTAAGGGAATTTCTGGGATCATCCATTCAAGCAGAAGGGAAATCCTTCTGTACCAAGATCTCCAGGCCTCCCATTTTTGTACACTGCTGTACTAAGTTTCAGAGTGAACTACTGTTTGTGATGGTATGAGACATGGAGACGTTTCTGAAATATACACAATGACTTGGACTTAATTTTTGTTTAACATAGTAATTCATCACTCACAGAAAAAGACTAGAAGCATCTCAAAGTGTTTTGTCTGCTTACAAGATGGTTAAGAAACAGGGTTAATACTTTACATGAAAGTTAAAGAAGTTTAGCAAATTGTAAAACCAAGGCAATAATCAGGAGACAAGTGGGTTACAGAATCAGTTTAGGGCATGAATTGATCCAAAGCAGGTATCAGGAGAGCAATATCCTATTCATTACTTCCAGCATAATCCAATACTGTTCAACAACCCTTAAAAGGAAGATGCTGCTTTTCCTAAAGCCACTAGTATAATTTTTAGGGACAAACCAGACAGAAAGAACCACTGCTTAAGGAAATGCCAGGTTTAAAATTGCAGTGTAAATATACTTGCATTGTACATATACATGCACCCCATTTGTGAGAGAATAGATTCTGTTAGCTAGCAGCATTCACTGGGATTACCTACACAGCCAAAACTTCCTTACGCCTTCAGGAGGAAACACAAAAAAAAAAAGTGGAGTAAACATGACCCTCCTTTACTTCCCTTGCAATTCAAAGTCCATAAGAGCAGAGGACTCTGAAGTAGGGCAAGAACTTGCAAGCTCCACACTGATATCCAATAATTCCATTTACTGTAAGGTGTTATCCCTCTAAACTATTTACTACTACAACTGTCAGAGACAGGATACTGGGCTAGATGGACCACTGGTTTGACTTAGTATGGCACTTATATATGGAACATAAGAGCGTAACTGCTTACTCTAACGCCAAAGCAAAAGAAGCCATGATGTTTTTCAGTAGAACCATTTCCATGGTTCCCTAGCTAACTGCAACCCACTTAAGTCCCAAGTTGACTAGCAGTCACCTCTCCCAGGGCGGGAAAAAAAAAAAATCACACAGTCCTCTCTTCAGGTTGGGCTCATATAGCATTTATACACGTACCTTTGTCTGTTCCAATGCACCAGAAATCCAGCACGTCGGAGCAGACTCAAGTAATCAAGTTAGCAGATCATGTGAGCCAACACACCCAGTGCTGCGTCGCATACATTTGCATAAATGGAAAAATGCACATCAGCGCGCAGAAAACGGTAGCGGTGCGCTTTTGGACTAACACACCGATTCATTTTAGTTCAAAAGTGCACCACTACCATTTTCTCAGCGCTGACACGCATTTCTAAATCTTACCCATCGCAGTAATGCAATCACTGGGGGGGAAGGAGGGAACCAATACAATACATTTTGAAAGCAGATCATCAAGTCCAACCCCATGCCATGGGCAGGAAAGAATGCTGGGGTCAAACAACCCCAGCAAGGTGTCTATCTAGCCTCCTTTTGAAGACCCCCAGAGTAGGAGTGAGCACCACTTCCCTTGGAAGTTGGTTCCAGATCCTAGCAGCCCTGACTGAAGTAGCGCCTCCTGATATCTAGCCTGAATCTACTCTCCATCAACGTATGGCCGTTATTCCTTGTTACTCCTGCTAGTGCTCAGGGGAACAGGGACTCTCCAAGCGCCTGCTGGTCCCTTAGCCAGTTTATAGATGGCCACCAGATCCCCTCTCACCCTTCTCTTGTGGAGGCTGAACAGGTTCAGGTCCTGTAGCCTCTCCTCATAGGGGCTGCCCTGCCTCCCCCTCGGCATGCGACTGGCCCTCCTCTGGACCCTCTCGATGTTGTCCACATCCGTCCTGAAGTGCAGCGCCCAGAATTGGACGCAGTACTCCAACTGCAGCCTGACCAATGTTGCATAGAGAGGGAGGATCACCTCCTTGGACCTGCTTGTGCTGCATCTGTGGATGCATGACAAGGTGCAGGTAGCCTCCCTGACTGCGTCCCCACATAGACTCCAAGATGAACATGGGCTGCCAATAATGACTCCAAGATCCTTTTCTGCCTCTGTGCTGACAACAAGGGAGTTCCCCAGCCTGTAGGTATGCTGCTGGTTCTCTCCCCCTAGGTGCAGTACCCTGCACTTGTCAGTATTGAATCCCATCTTATTTTCATCCGCCCACCCCTGTAACCTGTCCAGATCCAATTGCAGCATGTCCCTCCCTTCTACCGTGCCCACTTCTCCCCACATCTTAGTGTCACCTGAGAATTTGAACAAGGTGCTTTTCACCCCCTCGTCCAAGTCACTGATGAAGATGTTGAACAGTGAGAGCCCGAGGACTGAGCCCTGGGGGACCCCACTGCCCACATCCCTCCAGGTCGAAAATGACCCGTCCACCACCACTCTCTGGGTGCAGCCCTCCAGGTCATCATTGCAGTATTACTTTGCCTGGCTCTGACCTCTCAGCAGCAGACCAATCTGCTCTTCCAATATTGCTAAGCTAGATCTGTTTTTTATGAACTTAAATAATAAAGAGCTGGATACTACATGCATAAGTAAAGTGTACTGTACGCTACAGAAATTTAAAAAAAAGAGAGAACTATCAGCTTTAACAACACAGGCAGAGACTCATATAGATGGATAGTGAAGTTACAGTAATTTTGAAAATGGAGTTTTCATGGGGTTTAAAAAGCTTTTGAAATAAGAACTCACCTACCTTTAAACAGTTAGATCAAACACTAAAGACTGCTCTCAAGAAAAGAAGGGTAGTGTAGGGA